CAAATTGCTCCCCCCCTGCCGACGGATGCCCAGCCAGTCCCCGAGCAGCGGCCCCCCCCGCCAGCTTTCCCCAGTTCACGTACTGAGCATGATGTCACATGGTATGGAATGTCCCTTTGGTCAGTTGGGGTCAGCTGTCCTGGCCGTGCCCCCTCCTGGCTTCTTGTGCACCTCCAGCCTTCTCAGTTGGTAGAGCAGGGGAAGCTGAAAAGTCCTTGACTAGTGTAAGCACTACTTAGCAACAACTAAAACATGGGTGTGTTATCAACATTGTTCTCACCCTAAATCCAAAACACAGCACTGTACCAGCTACTAGGAAGGAAATTAACTCTATCCCTGCCGAAACCAGGACAAAGATGTACAGCGGATGGCATAACTTTCTACACAAACATGGAAGACAAAAGTCACCTTCCCTAGCCATAAATCTAAAATGAAGAACTTGCAGTTTTCTTTTTAGGAAATTATTATGAAACTCAGAAAAGTTATTCATCACATGTCTGCACAAAGAAGATATCTCAGAATGAGGTAAGAGTGATCCTTAAGTCTAACAGCCAGTCTGAAATAATGCCATGGTGGCACCATCTCACTCCAGAATACTAATCACTGGTTTGGTTTTCTCCCTCTCCACTGTGGATAATATACCTTAGAAAAACATAAAACATAAGCAATACAAGCAGAGAAGCTATTGCTCAGTAGACTTAAATGTGAGCAGAACCTATGAAAGCATGTTTAAGAATATACAATGACTTGCAACTATTATTTTCTAAAGGAAAACAGAGTTCATCGACACAAGAAGATGCATTGTATGAATAGGGATTTTCCTGGCTTAGACATTCAGGTGTTTAGCTGTGTCTGTAACCAACAGCTGTTTACAGCAGTACATAATTTTCTAGTTGAGACAGGGTGGAATGCAAAATTAAAATGAAAAAGGTTTTCAGAGTCATAAAAAAGAAGGCAAAATTACAGAAATCACACAGGACCATGAACATAAAAAATTACCAGAAAATACAATTTACAAAAAATAGAAATTAGGAAGTTAAAGCAACAGGCAAGGAATGTGTCGTACAATGCAACACTTAAGAGGGACTTATAGTAAGATACCTACATATGCTACTATACTTGTAGTATCTCATACTTGTAGTACCTCACAACCTTATTATTTATAGAGTATGCAACTCAACCACATCAGACTGGATGTCTCTGATCCAGTACGATTTCAGAAAGTCAGTAATCCTGATCCCATCCATACACAGAACTGGAGATCAGCACGAAGCTGGCGTGTACTTCTAAGAGAGGCAGGCATTGCTGGCCTGAGCAGCTCCATGTGGAGAGTTTTATGTGAAATAGGTCTGTTAACTTGAGGCATGCCCCAAATAATCAACCCTCTCTCCCTTCCAGCTGAAGCAACTCTGTGCATAAGACTTCGCTCACCACAGCTAAGATCCCTGAGGGGTAACGAAGTACAAGGCATGCCCAGAAACTATTTGTAAAATCGTGCAAAAGCTTTGCTGAGCATACATGAAATTACATGATAACCATTGTTAGTCTCTGCATTAACTCATTCTGTAGACATTGCACTAATGGAAAATTGAAAGAGATATCCCCAAACAGCTTCTGTACCAATATCCAAGACGTCACTCTTGGGAATTTGTATTCTTATGATTTATTCCCATGCTTTTTCGCCATGCTTTGGACTATAGCAATTTTCAGGAAGCTACCTGTGGCTGAGAACACGCTGTATATAAACATTTGTCTCAGCATGTTCTAGATCATCTCTGAAACAATAAAAATAGACTTCTAATTCTGCTGAGGTCCTTTGGGACCTAAATATCGCAATTCCTTTTTTTTCTGCCAAAGTGTTTTCAGAGCTGTATTAAGATTATTCTTTTTAAAGAGTAAGAAACATAACCACCTATTTTTTCATTCAAAAGTATAGCTATACTTCCCAATGGAAAATGTAACAGGAGCAGTAACCAGTACAGTTCCATAAGAGATTATTTTCTGATTTGAAAGTAGTGTTGAGAATGTGACTTCTAGTGTATTTTACCACCTTAAGAAACCAGTATTTTTAAATAGAAGAAAGTGCCTACACTCTACCTCATTATGCTACCTGAGCTTTCATGTTCACCTGGGCCAGTATTTTTGTCATCTATTAGCATATAAGTGATAGAAAGTTGGGAGAATCTGCTCTTCAGTCTACCTTTGAGGCTCAGGAGGAATGAATAACTGTGATACGCAAGTACCCCCTAGTGACGAAAGGATGAACTACAGTATTACACCAGCACTTTGGCTTGTTAAATATTTCTTGTAGTCACAAAACGAGACCGATAAAACAAAAAAAGAATATGCCATTTGATACTCAGCCTCTGTCCTGAGGATGGCAGAGGACACACTCAGCCTCATCCCTAACAAAACACAGCCATGAAGTGCTGCAGGCAGTGAATGTTTGTTCAAAACACAGTCACTCAGAGTAAAGTTCTCAAAGAAAAATCTTAAGGAAAAAACTAGAGATAATAACTACTTAAAGGCAAGCACACATTCCCTGTTTTTGAGGTTTGGCAGCTTGTGCTGGAGCAGTAAATGTGTGAAGACACACATTTCGCTATACTGCTAATGTTCTAAGAATAAGTTCAGTAATAGCTGAATTCTGAAGGATCTGATAAGCTCAGGTAGTTCCTGTCACCCTGTTTGCATGATAAATTATTTTAACAGAAAAAGAAAATGAAAAATATTTTCTATTTTTTTAATGAAAGTTTTCAGTACAGAACATTTTTGTAGAAAACTCTAGCCAAGGCTAAGAGAGATCCAAAAGTCTTATAAGCCAGCTGGAAAAAGCTAAGAGAGCTAAGAGCTTAGTAGCCTCTAACCCTAATCCAAGGAGCTGAAAAGCCGTAAATTGATGTAGAAGGAAAACAAGTGAAAGAATTGTGTCCTGGCTGCACATTTATTAAAGCGATATCGCCAAGAATGCATTGTCATAAACAGCAAAAGTGAGGCACAAATGAATCAGAAAAAGCTCTTTTATCATACTGTTGCTCATTAATGTGTCCACCAATAAGGACCAATCGACTCCATATTTAAAGGAAGAATGTATTTCTGGCTGAAAAGCACATTGATTAGATGTTTCAGACTTTAAACAAAAAGCCCCACAAATCTTATTGGATAAAAACAAAAATATTCACATTCAAATTTCACTTGGTGTATGTGTCAAACCGATAGGCAAACACAGTTCTGCACAACAGAAAGTCCAGCCAGTAATGCATTACCCAGGCACCCAACTTCAAACTCACATACAGAAATGTCAACACTCTGAAAATGTTCTTGTGTCTTTGTGGCTTCAGAATCCTAAAGGGTTTATCAACCAAACTGATGAGACCTGTCCAAATTCAGGCAGGTAAAAAATAAAATAAAATAAAAAAATCAAGATTTGCTGGCAATTTAAAAAAAAATAGTGCTATCAGTTAGGTATACAGCAAATGGAAAGGTGTTTACTGGAATTTCTGTAACTATTCCTTCTCGGGTTTCATTTAGAAAACACAATTATAAAAAAACAGGACATCAATACAGTACAGTTTCTTCTGAGACCCCTCCAACAATCTGAGTCCTTACAGTGACACAATATCGATTCCTGAAAGCATCCAATTAAGCATTATCAAAAAAACTTACCTACAGTAACTAAATAAGAAATCATCAGAAATGAAGAGGGAAGTCCATTAAAATACATTCAGAAATTCTGACATTTTCGTGCTCCTTTTAAATGTTCCATGCTTTAATGGGCATGTGTAACTGAATGAAGCATTATAGAGCTAGGTATCGCAGTAGCTGGACCTGGTTAGAGTAAGGATTCTCTTTTCCCACATTTTTTAAAACAAAAACATCGTGCTCATGAACACGGATAAGCATGGGATGGAAGGCAAATGCCCAGCACTTTAGTAAGTGTTCTGAAGAAAGAACTTCAAGAACCAGGTTTATTTATAAAATACAAAGACCTCAAAACTAAACTATACAATTATATATTATACACACATATATTATATATTGACATAATTATGAAATGATAGCTTATAAATTATAAAGCTTTAAGCCTTTAACAAACAATTTTGTAACAAAGAAGAAGAGCAAATTTGTGAAACCTGGCATATACCTTTACCCTGCTTCTTTTCAGGACAATCATAAAAATTACCTCGGTTCTGAGTAAATACAAGGGTCTTTTCCACAGCGTATATCTTACATTAGCAACTTGTCCAAGGTATGACACTGGGGAATAGGTGAGTTACACATATTTTTACTGTTTCTATTATTTGTTACAGAGCTTCAGAGGCATACATCAGAGGCATATGGAGATGAGGGTCTGAGATTTTCTATCTACCTCCACTCTGTCTTGCACAAGTAAATTAAAAAGGACTTAGATAAAAGCACAATAAGATAGACGTATCAGATAAACTATTTTAAACAAAAACAGATTCAGGCGGAATGCTGAGTCAGCATAAAGTCTGCTCCTATCTTACGTCCTCACTAAAGTTAAACAGTTAAGGCTGCAACATAACACCTAACTGAGAGATGAGACACAAATACGAAGAAAACATCTACAACGCAAGAAATATGTTCCAAACATTTTTATTTAAAGTATGTGAAGGGTTTACTTACAATTCTTCTCCTTGTTTTGCTTTTCTGTCAGAAACCAGATACACACTTCCAAAGCTTCCATTGCCAAGTTTCCTCTGAATAGCATATCTTCTTGCAATCACAGCATCTGAGCAAGCAGAATTAAATCTGGCAACAGTGACATGCTTAGCAGTTTCTTGAAATTTCAGCATTTCTCTGTGTAACAGAAACTACCCAAACTTCTCTAGAATGTAGCTTTCAAATCCTTTTACTCTTCCATGGATGTTCACAGGAAACACTTGAAACAGAAAAAAAATTGATCTATCAATGTATTATTCTTACTAAAATCTTCATTTAATGCTATGGCAGTGCTTATAGTACTCAGCTTGCAACAAAACACAAATTAAGTGGAATCATTAGTTGCTAAGCTGCGGGCAGCAGACTTGATAAAGAAACTCCAGACAATGTGGATGTGACATAATCAGCCTTCCTCTAAATCAACCTTAAATGAATTCACTGAACTGATAACACAGGGGAGATGAAATGCAGGTGCTTATACATTAATTTATTTAAAAGTTCAAGTGCTTTTTGCAAGGACAACTACACCTGTATTTCACCTGACAGTTCCTCTAGATACAGCACTCTTCCTCACCACCTGTCTTCATACCACCATGGTACTTGACACCAAAAATAGCTGCGTTTCAGGATGCAAGTTTCATGATTTTTGTATATACTGAAGCATAGTCTCCACCCGTAATTTGAGTTCACTCCCATCAATAAATACAGAGCTGTCTTCTCTGCTCTTTCATTTGCCCCTCAGATTCCACCATCTGTTTCAGTGCTGACCTCACAGCTTCTGTGTGATTCACCACTAATATTTTCTGCAAATTAGAGCTTCATGGCTACCCACAATTCTACAAGACTTTCAATAAAACCCAATTCTCCCAGAAGTTTTTCCATTTCTCCTTCACTGTAATAATTCTTTCTTGACCTACCTTTCTAAAAATTTAGCTTTGATTCAAATTCTTGTATAATTGAGGTCCTAATTCTGGAAACATGGGGACTGCAAGGGCAAACCTCTAGCATTTCTATGGTTTTCAATAACTGAACGTGGGTTTAGAATAACTTTGTTTACTCAACCTTCCTCATTCCAAATGATAAAGGGTACGTGTTTCACTGCACATAATAAAACAATATTGCTTTCATTACCTTGCCTTTATATAATGGTACCTGCATCATTTGTGCTTGAGGATCCTTTGGAACAAATAAAGATGTTGCAAGATCCTACAATCAGTGCAACTAATCCTACTATCTATCAGCACTGCCTGCTGCAGTGCAGCGTGCCCACACTGGGTTTGTTCACCATAGCATTTTAACATCAATGCAAGCACTTCAAAATGCTTTTTTTTTTTTTTGTTCTGGAAAAGACAAATTGCTTAATTTTAAAAGCTGTATAACTGCTGGTTCCAAGTCACTGTCTCTACTTCTTAAACAAATGCAGAGCCTAAATGAAGATTACAAATTTGTATCTTTCAACAGCGTGTGTGCGCGCAAGAACCTATTTTAACACCCATCTGCTGAGCTGCTGTCACACTGTACCAAAGAGCCTGACATTGCAGTGTTGCTATATTATGAAACACAGCCGAATTTTGATTACTACAAGCCACCTTAACAATGATACAAATCCTGTATGTTTTTTAAACAGAAGTACTCCTGAGATTCTGTTTCTGTATTCTCTTTTAGATAGCAACAGTGACAAAAATTTTGAAATGCAAATGCTAAGCAAAGAATGTCAGCTAGAAAATTACTTCTGTAACTCCAAATCCATCTGAAGAAGCATAAACTGCTCATGTTGAGGTATGGGGGAGGGGAGGGCAGGAAGATGAACTCCATAAAGTATTACATTGCCAGTTCTGGAAAGTTTACGTATTTTTCATTTACTATTCTATTCTCCTAGGAAGTTGTTGTTTTATGGATGCCTTCATAAATTCCAAATAGAATAGCTTTGAAATACGTAACCTTTAGAAATAAATACACTTACAAAAACTGCTGAGCTATCTATTCCTTTTTTCTGGAGAAGAGTCACTTAACACGGCTCACCTTCAAATTTTCATATTTACTTGGGCCCTAGGGATATATCACAATTCTTTACACCACAATATCACACTTGAGATCAAGTAGTCCATTGAGTCTAATTGTTGTGCTTTATTTCCAACACTGCCTCTCACCTGCTATTCTCTATGCTTCAACTTCCCTCTATATATAATAATAGTAATAACTATCATATAACTTTGTGAGGTGCTCTGATATCTACTGCTGAACAGTGTTATATAAGGCAGGGGCCAGTGATTGCCCTTGTGGTGTCACAGGCACATTTTAATGGCACAGAAGAGATGGATTGCTGAGCCACGGCATTTGAAAGAAATACCCTGTAAGAGTCAACAGACTCTAGAGCCTGACTGAACTGGAAGAGGGACTGATTCTTCGAGAAGTATACAAACCGGCAGCCTCTCCTACCTCGCTCAAACCTTTAGCCCAACCTTCCTTGTATTTTTTACCAGTGTCCGTCTTCTCCCACTGAGCAGGTACTTCCCAAGCAGCAGTACATCAATTGCTTCATTAAAGTTCAGAACAACTAGAGATAACTCAAAGAAATCAACTCTCCAGCCCCCTTTTCCTCAAAAATCCTAGTATACCCTATCCGGTAACACTCTGGTAAACAGTTTATGTTCTTAATTTTCTCCACCCCCTCAAGCCCCATTCCAGAGCCTGGCAGACTGCTGATGCCAAACTAATGCAATTACGTTGTTTTTTATTTTTCCTTCTTCCTTGGCTAGAGTTAAATCTCCTTCCTCTTTTTTGTTGTAACCTAAAGCAAAGTTGTTGTTTAGGATTTCATAGTTCTACCTACACATGCCATGTGCACAGCACCTCCACTTCTTCCCCTGACCTTCCTTTGCTTATATAAGTAAAATACTGTTTTTAATTTCCTTTACATAATCTTCAGGTTTCTTTAGCAACGGCTAACGTACTCTGACGCTTTCTGCCTCCAAGATAAACCCTTCTTTGCCAGTCAAGTCCATTTTCCAATTCTATCAGGTTTTCTTTTTATTCCTTAAGAACCCTTGTCCTACATCAACATTGCCGCCCCCCACCCCTTGCAGTACGAACTCCAGAGTTTTTATATTTAAACTCCAAATATCCCCAGTATTTGCTATGTTCAATTTTTTCCTGCCAATGACTTCACCGGCCTGCTCCTTTAAAGTTTTTGAAAATAAAAAAATAAGGTATTCCTGTTTTTTTCCATAATTTAAAAAAACCTAACCCCTGAACACTGGCTCCACTGTTATTTTCTGCAACATCTTTATAAACCTGGCCAAGTCTGAAGAAACGTCATCTCGGTTGGCTCAGTTTTTTACTGCTCCCAGAGAAAGGATAAGTAAGAAAGATTTTATTAGCAGTGTCGGTAGCAAAGGAACTTGCAGGTGATGGCAAAACAAGGTCAGATGTACTCGACTATCGAAGAGGCTAATTAACATCTCCCTGACGGACACTCAGGAAGCCGAGATCCCCTAGGATAACCTCGGAGATGTTATTGCCTTGTTAACAGCCCGCGGAAGACTCAAAATTCACGCTCCGAGGGCCTGGGGGCACACACACACACGCACACAGCTATGAAGCGCCCCCGCTTCCCCCGCCCAGCTACCCTCACGCAGAGGGGCGAGGGCGGCATGCCTCCACCCG